AGGTGTTTTTTATGTATGGTCTCCACAGATCACTGTTACCCAGCTTGCATGCCAACAGTAAGAACAGACATGAAGGATTCAGGAGATCTTTATCACAGGTTAAGAAAGAAAGTTGCAGTAGCAATAAATTTTCTTGGTCACCAACTGTAGAACTTGCATGACAAGTCACAGTTGAAGAGTTTGGCAAACAGGTAAACTAAACCTGGGTAAACCAAACCTGGGTAAACCAAAGAGCTTAACCAAGTGGTTACTGATTTACTGATGATTTAAAGCTATAGTGGAATAAAATTGTGTAGTGACTCTTCTACAGTTCAATTCTTAAATGAAGAAGCTCTGATCTGGTTAACTTCAGAGCATTAGCATCACGTGCCTGCCTTTTTTTGTGAATAAGAAGATCATTTTTGTTAGCTGGGAAATAACAAAAAAAAAAAAAAGGTGTGAAAGGCAAATGTTTCTTCAGAAAACTTGGTATAGAGCAAGCTAATTTAGGGATTTGCTTAAAAAATCTATACACTCACACTTGTTTGAAAGTGAACTAGCTTCCCAAAAAGCAGAATAAAGCGCTCTACATCTAACTTGAAATAGAATGCCTCAGTTTCTTGCTGGTTTGTAGATTTTTTGTTTTGTTTTGTTTTTTTCTGAAAGCAGGAGTTCTAGGGAGGGATTATTGAAAAGCAGTGCTTCTTTCCTGATGCATATAAACTCCATATTTTTTTGGAAACAAATTATGTTGAATGTTACAGAGAGAGAATATATCTGCTATCAATTTGAAATTTGATATGTAACTTTACATCGTTCTGTTGGATTATTCTTTTTCTTGTTCTACAGCTGTGTTGGTCAGAATGTACATAAATTAGCCTTTTAATGGACAATTTGACCTAATAGTTCTGTGAAAGGGATGTAAAAATGATCTTGCCAATCCAGACATTTTGTTCTGACAATATTACCAACTTCTGTTGCAGCATTAGTACACAGCTGAATTGCAGGGCATATGTACTCAAGTTGGTAAGGCTTAAATTAGAAAGCTATTATGTAAGCAAATTTTAAGCATAATTTAAAGGAACTAAATGACAAACACCCCGCAAAAACAACTGACATCCAATTAGGGAAATGCTTCCAAGCTGTCTTTCTTTTCAAGTATAAATCACTGACATTATACTAAAATGAAAACAATTTCAGTGAATGCCAGATTAGAAATGTGACTTTCTTCAGCACTGATTATCGACATTATTTCGTGCAATCACATACTACTAAGTTTGGTGAAATCAATTCCCATATATTTATAATGTATTTTACATCCTGATTTCCTACCAGTTTTCTTTAACATATGTAAACAGAAAAATTAGTAGAAAACTGCTCTATTGTGCACAACTAATGTATCTGGAAAACACACAGGAAAATGGTGACAAAATCTTTTTCATAATTTGCTCCCAATTCTTTTCACTTTAAATTTGATCTAAAATTGTAACCCTAATGAAAACTAGTAGAATAGTAGACTGATTTCTATGGATAAATATGTGGCTTGCTCTGGAACATAGACTTTCCACTAATTCTTTCAATGTCATACAAATTTCACTTAGCTCAATACAACCACAGCACCTCACAAGATATTTAAATTTTGATCAAAAAAAAAAATTTGCTCATTCAAGACCATTTTTGTAGCCTAAAAGGTATCTCCATTTCTATAAACAGAAAGAAAAAGAGCTGTACACCTTCATGTATCAGGTGTTTTCAAAGGAAATACATCTTTTTGCATGACCTAGCCAAACACTGGGATAAAGTTTTAAAGGAATGATGCAAGGCAAAAAGTTGTATTTTCAGGTGTTTTTTTGCTCTACAAGGCTGTGGTACTGCTAGAAGGAAGAACAGTGGCAGCCAGGCCAGCAGGAAGACTGAGGCAGGGCTCTGCCCACAGGTTGCCAAACCATGGAGAAGCACCAGCTGGACATTTTCCTGACTTGTCCACTGCCCTAACAGCCACAACATTTCACATCACACAGGAGAGTGAATGGAATAGAGAGAAGTAACTTACACGCATTACCATCTTGGCAATTAAAATGCTGGTATATGGAACATAACTAAAATACATACAGAGTGGAAGTGTAGACATTCTACAAGGAACTAAAACCACCTAGAACACTGTGCCAAATTAGAAGCAAGTGGTCACTCCTGCCAGCTTTTTCTTAAACAACTACCTTACTTCCTTCTGAAATGCTATCTCACATAACATCCTGTACTAATAATATTCTGCTTTCTTTAAAGTATATACAAATGCTCAGTGATTACAGTGAAAACTCTAGCTTTAACATTTTATTGGGTTGTTTTTCCCTCCAATAAATAAAATGAAATAGAATCCCAAGGCTTTACTCTGAGGATTGCAATTGTCTTTCTCCAAGCCAGGAGTATTTAGGGCCAAGCTACACCCATGTAGTCTCATGTATTCACTGTCCTTTAGTTTGAATGTTATTCCTTAAAATTTCTGCATTTCTACATATCAATTGCATATGCTATATATCAATTATAATTGCTTTAGCTTTTGTCCTCCTAATCTCTCTAATCTTCTCTCATTTCTATTTCTTGGTCATCCTCTGTTTGACTTTCTTTGTTCATATCAGTTAATATTTGCTCAAAAATCGGTAACACATGGTACACAACATCCCAGGTGACATATCATAAATTCTCTAACTATGCAGGAGATACTTAGAAACTATGATAACATCTGACTTTTCCTGAGCTTGGCACTTTGGTAAGTCACACTTCATCATCCTTTCCAAACAATGCACCCCTAACTTGTAGGAACTTGGTGCATGTGTTTTGTATTAAAATAATTTACTGTGGTAATAATTCACATGGAGAAAACAAGGGTAAATATGTTGAAAAACTTTTTACTAATATGAAACTTGCCAAATAATTTTTTTTGGTAGTCTGTTCCTAATATGTAGATTAGTCAGGAGTGTTGAACCACTGAAAATAATTAAATGTAATATTTTTCTCATGTTGCTCTATATTAATTATACCAAATGTTCTGCTTATAAAACGCTATTTGCTAGGTATGTATTAATATTTTGGAATTAATTAATATATATTCCATTATCTTCCAGCGACAGGAACTGCTAAAGCAATGGTACTTTATAGAGGTGTTCCCCATGTTCCTCACACAATTGAACTAATTATTGGATACTCTCCCTCTGACTACCATTAACTTCTCAGTCTTTAAAGAGATGTAGCTCATCACACCACAGAAGATATTTTCATATGCAATATTAATATTAGGGCTTTTTCTTGGCACGTGGAAGCTTGGAGTTCAACACAACAATACCTAAACCAAGACAAGTGCAAATAATAAGGACGTATTTAAGTGGCCGTAGGACAATCCCAGTGAGTCATGTATTTCTTCAGAACATATCTTCAGAGCACTTTAGTGCAATGGAGTCTGTTTTCTGGATCCCAATGATATATTTCAAAGATGAACACCTAAACTGTCCTCTCATCAAAGACACAATCTCTCCTGCATGCAGACACTATCACAATTTCAGCTACGTAGCAATGTTTGTGTTCCAAACTGAAGAGTGAACGACTGCCTAAAGCATATAAGGGGGTCAGGTGAGGTTCACCTGAATTGCTCCCCAAAACTTAGGTGGCTAAATTGTGCCTAAGTGGCATTTATGGCATTTGATACTTTTGCTGTTTCTGACCCTAAAGAAGACTCTGTTGCAAGTGCACCAGTGTTTTAATGCACCCCAGAGGACGCACCATTGATGCACTGCTTTAATAAAAATTCAGTATCAAGCTGAAACTTCTCTCACACTATCATAAGCCATTTAGATGAATAGAATAGAAAAGATCAGGAATTCCTGGATTATTTCAGCACTTTATTTAAAGTACCACACAGAAAACCAGGGAAGGAAGCTGTATCAAGTTCATAGCCATTAGAAAAACAACCATGGTCTCAGAACACTACTGCCATAGAAAAAACCTACTGTAATATGCAGGTGTGATAGAAATAATTTTCTCTGGGTGTGTTAAACAGTACTAAATTTCAGGTTACAGCTATGCTATTATATAAATTGGGGCATAGCACCACTTCATAATACAAGCATAACTTTGTCATGCGCATGTCAAAAACTACTTTGGATTGTAATGAATTTACGCTTTTTTCAGCTGAGGTGCCAGCAAAGCTGGCTAATTCCCACTACTTAATGCTCCAAATTAAAATCTGGAATATCACCTTTTGCAGAGCTGCCCAACAAGAGGTGGTAAATGGACTGCAATATTCTGCTCAAGTACTGTCACCTTTTTGCTATGCAGAGGGTGCAGAGATGAACAGGGAACTACCCTCACCTATTTCAAATAAGGCACAGGCATTAGTGGTGAATATGCCTGTACTTGATCATAAAAGTTCTGCAGATTTTTGAAATGGTAACTATGCATTCAAAAAGGATTCATTCCACCTTGCTCACTACACTTATGGTCAGTTTGAAGAGGTTTTAGTTCACTTAAGCATATTAATGCAAATGTAAATAAAAAAGCTGATTTCACAAGAATTCCCTGAATTTCTGCCATAGCCAGAAATGAAACACAGCAAACCACGTAAAATAATGTAAAATTACAATTAAAATACTAAATTGGGTTTCCTGAAGCTGATGGAAGGATTTTGCATGCAAAAAGTCAAAATTGTTAACTAAAGGCATTTTTATGAAATAAAATTTTACTAGTCTTTATTGCCTCCTCTACTTCTTAGCCTAAAAATAACAAATATTTCTCGGTCTTTAATTTCTTCTATTGTTATAATTTTGACAACAGTCTTGGGTTTCCTTGTTGAGCTATCTTTAAAGCCTATGTTCAGCTGAGGATGGGCAGGGCCTGGGTATTAGGATTCCTGGTTTTCCCCCCTCCCCTGTGGATGATTTTAAAATTTCAGTTCAGTTTTTCACATTAATATGTATCCCAGTTAGCTAACAACATTACAATAATAAATTATAAAAAGCATGTATTCTAACCACTTTGTCCTCCTTTGGGAAAGCATCCAAGGAAGCAGAATAAAAAGAGAAAAGAAAAAAAGAAGAGAAAAAGAATAAAATAGGCAAGTATTAATAGACAGATTTCAAAGAAATGCAATTCTAGTAACTCTCTATGAAGAGATAAAAACATAAAATTTAAAAAAAGAGCTTTAAATAAAAAGATGACTTTTACTACATATGTTGTAAACATGTTTTCCCACCCTGACCCACAGGAGCATAAACAATGTAACAAACAAAAGGCAAGTTACAAATGAATGGACACTCTTCCTTTCTGTGACTTGAAACAGTGGGTGAAAAATACTTAAAATATATTCAATTTTTTTTCTGAGTAAAGATAAGCTCTATCAAATGCACTTTAATTAATAGTATAATGCAATGTATCAAAGTAAATTATATTTTCAGAGAGTTGCTCTAATGACACCACCTGCAGGTGATGCAATGTAATGCATCTATTTATACTAATATATAAATACTGGGAGTTTTTACATATGGATATGCAAATTTTTGTCCAATTCACCTATATAGTTTTTTTCAGAATGTGAATTTAATGAACAAGTACATCAAGGCTATTGAAAGCTTCTAAAATAAAACTAAATTGCATTTTTTTAAGGTTAATCTCAGTATCCTTCAGTTTTGTGGACAGCTACTGCAAGTAACTGCATGCAGAACAGAGGGAGAAAGATTTAGTCACCTGCCTGAAAGTAGGATACTTAACCCAGATCAATATATAGTTTATTTTATAAGTAAATCTAAAATAAATTGACATAACACTTTCAGTGTTCTAAGAAAAGTGGTCGAGACTTTCTTCTAACCAAAAATTGACCAATTTTATGTAAAAGAATCTATAAATGTATATGAAAAGCTCTAAAAAAATAAAAAATGGAAAATTAATTGAGGTCAATAAAAAGTTATTAATGTGGAGTTGTACCTGAGCAAAAGGGTTTCTTCTTTCATTCTACAAAAAACAAGTATATTTTCTTCAAGCCATCAGTCAGTAGAACTATACGCTATTATTATTTTTTTAATTAACTCTGTGAGTCCCAAGTAGCTCCACAATCATTAAATAAATTATTTTACTTTATACACACCTCATAATGAAGCAATAAATAAAACACTTAAGTAAAATGAAGCATGAAATGCCAAACTTAAAGTGAACAATCTGCAGCATGACAATGTCAAGGTGGCTTTTCTTAAGAGCACACATCAGGAGACTTACATTGTTTGATCGCAGAGAGACACGACCTCCACATCGAGCACAAAACTTGGTCCGGCAATAAGAGCATAAATGGCCACAACCATCTGCAAACTTTGTTTTATGACAGATTCCACATGTTGGAGCATCATCCTTGTGCTCTCCCTGGTAACGGCGGGCTTCTTCCCCTATCTTTCTTACTTGCTCTTTATAGCTTTCAAATTGTTGATGCAACCTCCTGCATAGATGAGAAAAAAGTTTATATAGCAAGAATAGGAGGAAAGACTACTACGGTGTATTTCTTTCTTTCAGTTTGCAACACTACCTAACACTCTTGGCATGTTCACAATACTAAATGTACCTCATTATCAAATACACTCTGCACATGAAAGAATGTATAAGGCAGTCTAAAGGAAAAAAAATAGACATATTTATTCTTATAGGTTTCCTCCAACGATCATGAGCAAATCATGTCACTTGACCAGAAACTGATTCAAATGCATAGTAATAAACAAAACTGTCTACCATTTACTGAAAAAAAGAAATAATTGCCTGAGGAAATTTGCACTGCTTTGTAACCAACTTTATTTATACAGCAGTTGTAATAAAAATATGCAAGACAATCTTCAGTTACAGTGTTTTCAAAATCTAAATCACGAACACATATAACTTAAATATTCCAAAATATGCTCTACAATCACAGACCTCTCAAGAATATGAGAACATCTTTTTTTATTTTAAATCTATACATTAACAATCTGTTGTGTTTTCTCTTGTTAACTATGGAAGACTCCTTAAGATTTGCTAGTCCTAATTAAGACATTTCTTCCAGCTTAGCTGCAAGCGTGTACAGAAGTATTAGCAGGTACAGAGATTCCTAAGATGAAGATTGGTGTTTAAATAAGTACCTTTTCTCTTCCAGCTGCCTCAAATAACAAACACCCTGACACTATGCCCACCAATTGGCTAAGCATGCTGCTACACAAATGACCCAGCTCCTAATCACCAGCTCAGAGAAGAGAACTCTCAGTTCCCCTTCAATAATTCAGGAATAATAACAATAATAATATACTTAGTGAGAAAATCTTTCTTATCATTATTTCATTATCCCTGAGGAAAAAAATGTTCTCTGATTTGTTTCTATGAGATTTTGCTGGCAAAAATAACATTGCAGAGGGGAACCAGCTAAAGGTCCAATCCAGGACTTCTCCTGAACCTTGCTGCATAATGCAACTGCTCTTCAGGCTCCTGTAGTGGGTTTCTGTGGCTGAGTTTTGTTGCACAAAGGGCTACAGGGGTGGTTTCTGTTAGAAGCTGCTAGAAGCTTCCTCTGTCCTGTGGAGCCATTGCCAGATGGCTCCAGGATGGACTTCCTGCCACTGGCCAAGGCCGAGCCAATTAGGAGTGATAGTAACACCTCGTGATAACATATTTAAGAACAGAAGGTTGTTGCACATGAAGGATTCCAGCCAACGAACAGAAGAGTGAAAACGTGGAATAACAAGGTAGACACCAAGGTCAGTGCAGAAGGAGAGGGAAGAGTTGCTCCAGGCACTGGAGCTGTGGCCCTGCAGCCCGTGGTGCAGATCATGGTGGGGCAGCTTTGCCCCTGCAGCCCATGGGGGACCATCGGGGTGCAGAGAACCCCCTGCAGCCCAGGGAGGAGCCCATGCTGGAGCAGGTGGATGCATGAAGGAGGCTATGACCATGTGGGAGGCCCAGGATGGAGCAAGGTCCTGCCAGGGACCTGCAGCCCATGGAGAGGGAGACCTACACCAGAGTAGGTTTTTCCCAGGTAGGACTTGTGGCCGCTCTGGGGGACCAATGCTGGTACAGCTCATTTGTGAAGGACTGCACCCCATGGAGGAGTGACCCACAGGACAGCAGACTGGGAAGAACTTCTTCCAGAGGGATGGACTCACACTGGAGAGGTCCACCAAGGGCTGTCTCCAGTGGGAGGGATCCCACAGGAGCAGGGGAAGAACTCCTCTTTCTGAGCAGATGAGGACAACGTGAAAGGACGGAGGGCTGGGGGGAAGGTGTTTTTAAGACTGTTTTATTTCTCACTCTTTGGCTTTTATCCTGTTAGTAATAAATTTAAGTAATATCTCCACTTAGAGTCTGTTTTACCCATGAAGGTAATTATTAACTGACCTCTCCCAGCTCTTATCTCTACTCTTGAACCCTTTGCTGGTTTTTTTTTTTACTCTCTCCTCTGTCCAGTTACAGAGGCAGAGTAAGAGAGTGGCTTTAGTGGGTCCCTGGCACCTGGCCAGGGTCAAGTCACTACAGCACCGAATTCGATGCTCACCAGATCCCTCCCAGTGAGCTAACCCATGAACCTGAATCAACATAACATTAATTCTCCTACCCAAATAAAACCTAAACCCAGAAATTCTGTCATTTTGCTTACCGATTTGCTCTGCTCTGAGCAGGAAAGTGGAGACCCAGGAGGAATGTAAGACATGAGCTCCTGAATCCAGAAATTAAAGGGACCGCTAAAGAGCAGGATCACCGTTTTTAAAGCAGCAACAAGCTCAGCTGTCATGAAGCTTAGTTTACCTCACCCAACCTGAAGTTTAATTTAAAAGGATGATATTTTAGCTGTTAACTATCTCATCATATCAAATTATCAAGAAAGAAAATATTCTGTGGGTGCACCAGGACAGCACTGCAACTCATGACCTGTCATGAGCTTGGGCAAAGACCTCAGACAGCCAAGAGCCCAGCAGGGCACTTGGAACAACCAGTTTTTTCACCATGCTCTGTGGTACCCAGTTTTTCTAGCCACTTTTCCAGAATTTGCTTTAAATCTACATCTCCATGGATAACATTTAAAAAACCATGAGCAGCTACATTGATTATTAAGAGAAACAGGGAATCTTGAGTTTAATAAATGGAAACAGTAGGTGTGTTATCTGTAGAAGTGTTGGTGATATCCTTTATCTCCACTACCTGCTTTGAGCTACCCACTCCCTTAATTAGCACTGAGGCTCACACCATTTAACCAATGCACTTTTAGTGACACAATTTCATGTTTCTGTGGGCTTTTGTGTGTATGTGTGTATGTTTGTGTGGTGAACTTGTCTGGACATTTAAGATGCAAGTACTCAGTGTTTTTTGTATGAAATACTGTTTTAGTGACGCAGATATTTTTACTTGAACATGATATTCAGCCTAAAAAATTACATTTTAACTTGACCCACAGTAATCATGGTAAAGTTGACATAATTCAGTTGGAAAGCAATAACAACGCTTGTAACTACATAAATCAACCAGCACTCACACTAAAACCAGTGACTTCACATGGGTACATTCTAGTAAGGATGCAGCAACAGTAAAAGCTAAGCAGCCAAATAATCTATTCTCCCTCACTGCAAACATGATGCATTATATTTAATGTTTTATACTAATAAAAATTTTGGCAGGAGTAGCCAAACCTTTGCAGTATTGAATAACATGAGAAAAGTAGGTCAAAGAATTAGGCAAAATACTGGAGACACTTTATACTTTTGGCCATATAACTGGATTACACATACAAATTATCTTACACAGCTACTCATTTATGCATAGAAACAAAGACATCCAGAAATTTGTATAATATTTAGCTTAAAGAATGCAATTAAATAATGGAGAGGTCTGTAGGTAAATTTCTTATTACATCAAATATTCTATTAAAAAATGGAACCATGGAAACTAAATCCAGTTCTCATCCACGAAAGCAAAACCAAAAGCCCTGGGTGCTTGCAAATGTGAAAAGGCAAGGTAACAGTAAGCACTGCCCTTTTTCCTGTTCTTTTCCAATTAGAGCATCTACATTTGCATTTTCTCTATCTCACAGGAAGCTTACGAAGTGTATTAATACAATGATGTTTTGTCCTTCTGTGTGCACCAAGGGTTAGATGAACATAGTAGCAACTTGGCAAAACTTAAGTGAGATGAGATTTCAGTTCTTTATAAATATCACTTATTTATAGATTTTTTAATTTCTGCATCTGTGTAAGACTTTTTACCATGAGGGGTTCAAAACCTTTATCCTGCATGTCACACACAGCACTACTGAGAAAACTCTAACATTTTATAGAACACAGAAAAATGACTGCAGATTTCAGAGAGCAGAAAGAATCTTATCCAGTTCACAGCAGATCTGGTTCAATTAGTTCTTTTTTAACCACCTTTTCTATCTTTTTGAGGAAAAAGCTGGATTTCTGTATCTCTGGCTATTCTATAACAACAGTACCAAATCCCTCTCAACAGTTTTGCCTTATACAAAAGTATATTAAGTATTAAGCAAGCACTAAAATACAGATGGATGTTTTGCTCCATGACTTCCAGGCTATAGAGCAAATTTTCATCAGATGCCAGGAAAATGTAATTTTATTAAATATTCCTTAATGTAGACAAGCACCTAAAGGTTAAGCTAAAGACTTAATAACACCATATAATACAGTGGCTTGGCAGACCCTTGAGGCCGATATCAATTCAAATCTCCTCTGACAGAAAGAGGAACCAGGCTACTATGTAAGAGGAATATATGCACATATTCACATGATTTTTATCATGCACCCTAAAATTCATCCGTCTGGTTCTACTACTAAGCTCAATGGCACTTGAAGGATAAGCTTACTCCGATGACACTCTTGCCACACTTCACTTGCGCAGACCTCGCACCACTCTCAAAAAAACAGCTGCATCCACAAAGCTGTCTTGGCTGGGGAGGGTGCCTGCTATTTCACGTTCACATGCATGACACATAAGTATGATCGAAAAAAAAAGGTCATACTATGGGAGAATCTTTGGGTACATCAGATCTCATGACTAAAACAAAATCTTCTGTTGCTCAAATTCTGGAAGTGACTAAGGCACTTGGAGAGGCACATCAGCCTAAGGACCTTACCACACACACATGAGAGGCTGGCATCACTACTCCTAGTGCTTCCTCCTCCCTTTTTTTCAAAGACACTTCACAAAAAATCAGCTTTAGCTATGTGTCATACATGTACCATATTTTCACTTGAATATTCAGTATTTTACTTTGACAGTGTAAACTAGTAAAAAAAATACTGATAGGCAATTCTGCAAAGCTTTACTCATGTCTTCATGTACTTCTCAAAAACTGCAAGCCTTGGAGAACACTCATGTGATGAATATCTTACACAACTTAAACCTTTCAGATAGTTCACTGATATCATTAGGAGGACAAACAATGGACATTGAGGCTATTCATAATATTGGCTG